TTCCTTCCTTCCTTCCTTCCTTTTTCCCTTCCTCCTCCTTTCCTTCCTTCCTTTTTTTTTGAGACAAGGCCTTGCTATGTATTGTAGCCCAGGCTAACCTCCAATTTTTGATTCTCCATCCTATGATAGAGAAGGCCCACCTCTGACAAATATGTAATAAAACAAAGCTTGCAAATTGCCCTGCACTTGCCTGGCACACAACGATTACCCAGCAACTGGTGGCTCTTTGATCAGTGTGTGCCTGCCACAGGTTGTGATTGTGGGTAGATTAGTGTATAATAAGCATTCAATCAATGATTAAGGACCCAAATGTCGCTTCTATTTAGATGCATGGCCAGGTGACATGACAACCTTCCTTTAATCTACTAATGTAACTCAGACTGTCTGGATGTCTGATGGGTGGGCTGGGCCTCAGGCCACTGTGGCAGGGTGGCAACCTCCATCCTCCCCCCATGCTAATGCATTTCAGGAGGGTAGTCAGCACAACGCATTCTCAACTGAGATAACGCCAGCATTTTCTGAGGTTTGCTTGTACTCCACCCTTTGGAGAAATACTGATCTTGTCCCTAACTTTTTACAATTGTCCACTCTGAGTTTTAAGTCATGAATGTTTTCACATCAGCTTCCACACGGAGAACTGTAGCTCAACCTCGGGTGAGATGGTAAACCACAGTCTTAGATGGTTATGACTGATATCCCAGCTGGAGAAAGCAAGCTGGAAACGCAAGGGAAGCCAGTAAAAAGCTTTCTTTGGCATGAACTAGCATATTATCAGTATGTTCCCTCTAAGTTGAGTCACCTAAATAAAGAATGATAGGAGTATTTGAAGAAACACAGATATAATTTTAAAAGTTATAATGAGCCCTTTTGAGAGAATGTTTACAGTGCCATTAATTTTCAGCCTATAGAGGTGTTCAGAAAACAGCCCCCGCCCCTTGCCAAGAGGGTGAGAAGGTTCTCAGAACATCCAAGGCTCTGGGAAGCAATTTCCACAAATATCTATAGACTTCCCACTGTTTTTCTAGGCATCTTTTTCCAGTGAGACGCAAACTGAGAAACAAGGGCATTTATGAACTATCTGATATAAATGCTAAACCACAGCACTGAGAGTCAATGTCCTATCTGTATTTTTTAAAAATATCTTACTTATGTGTATGTTTGTGTTTGGATGTCCTTGAGAGCCAGAAGAGGGCATTGGATCCCTGAATCTGGAGTTGTAGGTGATTGTGAGCTGCCTCATGAGGGTGCTGTGAACTAAACATGGGTCCTCTGGACGAACAGTAGGCACTCTGAACCGCTGAGGTACCTGTCCAGCCTCCTCCCTGTGTGTTTAAGCCCGTGATGGCTCCTGAGCTGGCAGTGACGGTGTGGAGGAGAGATCGTACACATCTGTCTCACTTTCACTATGGTCAAGGTGGCTTCTGTAAGATGATAACCTTTAAGAAAGACTGAACAAATTCGCACTCAAGAAAGAAGTGGGCGGGGAAAGACCTTGACTTCATGGTGAATAGCGGGAGGAGACATGAGAGAGTGAAGTAGGGTAGAGAGCTAAGTGTCTCACCCTTCATCCTGCCCCCTGCACTGCTGTGTGGCGTCGATCTTGATCCGGAGGATCAGGAAGACAGCGGTTCTGATTAAATTACTTAATGTATACAGGTTGCTAAGACCTGCAGCTTATATACAGTTATTATTACTAGGTATTAATTGTTGTAGTATTGGCAGGTGCATAGGCTGTAAATAGAAGAGTGATGGGACTTCAGAAAATGTCCCTCAGGTGGCCACATGGAGTCTACCGGGAGATCAAAAAGATGGTGGCATGGGCAGCCTAGGAGGAGGAGGGGAGTTATGGTCAGACATGAGGTCTGTCTATTGGAGTAAACGCACAGTTCTTGCTGACAGAGCGGATGTGGGATGTGAGGGGAACCGAGACTTGCAGTGTGGCGTTGCTGTTTAGTCTGAGCAGATAGGAGCCTTCTGGTGCAACTTACTCAACCAGAGGACACTTTGGGAAAGGGGTGGCGACATGGCCCGACTGGTTTGGTGAAGGGCAGTGAATGCAATGGAAATGATGCATGCCTCTGGTCTGGAACATATGCCCTCCTTTAGACGCCATACTCGATACCCCGAGCTGAGCCCCACACTGCCTCCTCCCGGGCACTGCGCGTAATTCATAAGCCTTTCTTGGACAGGGGAGGAGAGGAGCCTGGCAAACAACTGGCCAAACTAGGAAAAGACTCCAGTGTCCAGGCAGCGTGATCCAAGAGGAAGTGGGTGAATGGGCACAATGGAAATGCCTGCAGCAGTAAATAAATAAACAACTAGTCATCGGCCGGCTTTCTTACTTCTCAACCAGTTATATCTATGGCCAGAACAGGGTACCATATCGAATGATGTTGGCTGCTTTCTGACTTGCCCGCAAGGCTTTCTATTCAATATTTCATAAGAATGCATCAATATCTTGTGAGCACTTAAAAAATGATATAAAACCATCTGAACACTCAAATGCTTTCAGGAGGTCAGGCCATCTCCTTTGTGAAGAAAGCGCTAGGCAGCTGTGTTTTGGGGGTGATTTAAGGGGAGAGCTGCATGAAGACAGAGGGATGTCTGTGATGACCTCTCCAGAGAACCTCCCCTCAGTCCTGCTGTGGACAGAAGAGGCAGTTTGAAAAAGAAAAGGTGAATTAGCGTGTTGTGTTTGGGGCTCATTCATATTGAATCCAAAGCATGGAGCAGCAGCGTGGAGCCCTGACTGAAGCAGTTTCTGCAAATAGGTTTTGAGTTACAGACCTTGGGGATTCTAGGCCTGCACTAGTCACTTGTAAGTCTGCTGTCGGGTTCTCTGTAGGATAGCTGTGTTTTTTTCTTTTTCTTTTC